TTAAAGCCCAGTAAGTGATGTTTTTGCAGTATTGGAGAGCTGTTTCAGATGTTGTTCAAAATGTTCTGAAGTTTAATAAAAACACATTTTAAATGTCTTAGTATCTCTTAGTATAGGCATTGCTAAAATCTGAGAGTGAACGGACGAATACAGACAGAATATTGTCACAAAAAATGTTGTATGATAAAAAGGCTTGGTAGTTTAGATCATTGGTAAAAAGAAAATGAGCATGCCATCAAGGAAATATTGACTTCCTGAATATATCTGTTATATAATGTATTGTGTAGTATTAGCCTCACTTTTTAGACCCAACACTATGACCTCCCACATGCCGAAATGGCACTTAGTTAAAGTTTAGAAGAGCCATCCTCTCATTTATTTTGTCAACCATCTGTTATTAATTTTTTATTTAATTTAATAACAGAATTTAAAAATGCTGATTTTAAACAGACTTGCAAAAAAATCCTGTTTTTATATGTTAGTATATACTAACTCTTAGTATACGCTAACTCTTAGGCACATGAGGCAGGTCAAAATTACAGTCTGAGTTTAAACAAGCTTTGCATTCAAAACTACATTTGTAAAAAGCAATTCATACAAACTTCTTTATAGCTTCCAGTTACTTTAATTTATGATGATGATTTTTGTGATGTGGACACCTGTTCAAAAGGAGATGAAAGGAGACCACCAAATTAATTAATATTTAGTGGACAATAATTAGAATGCTCTCTACCAGCAACTTATATAAAGAGTTCATGCTTGATCTTACTTTGCATTTATAAATGACTAATAGAGACTTTATAAGCATGTCAAAGACTTGAGCAGTGAAATACTTCTAAACAAAAACAAAAATAAGATGTTACAAGCACACACTGATGTCAGAACCCATATCCAGTAAATTCTGGTTAATTCACTGTTCCAAAGGGAATTAATTATACAAAAATGATCAGTTACCAGGGATTCATAATTGTTGTAGGGGGCAGGAGTTGGATGACTCAATGAAAATTGGAATAATAGCAAATTAAACCACAGTGGTGTATTATCCTTTAGGTCAGCAGTCACCAACCGGTCAATCCCAATTGACTGGTCAATTGGGGAACCACTAACAGTCAGTCTCATTCTGGGGGGTGGGACTGAGGTCGACTGTCAGAGGCTTCATGATTGGGAGTGGCAGGGATGTAGTCTGGGAGCAGCAGGATGTAGGAGTGGCAGGACGCATATGGCTGGGCTGAGCCAGGCCCCCTGGTGTGTGGGCCAACCTGGGTGAGTGGGATGATTGGAGGAGCTTGTGCCTCCTGCCACTGCGTGAGTGGTGCCCTGGCCAGGCTGGACCAGGGGAAGATTGGAGCCCAGGTGGCTCATCCAGGCATGCAGGGGGGCTCCCGCCACTGCATGCACCCCAGAGGAGGCCTGGGGTGCATGTGCCCCCCAATCTGTGTGTGGGGTGAGGTGGCTGCTGCTGCACACTGGGCTTTGCACCCTGAGCCCTACTGTGCTCGGAGTGTGGAGTGCAAAGCCTGAGGCACAAAGCCCAATGCACAGTGGGAGCTGCCTTGCCCCGTGCAGATTGGGGGGGCACATGCCCCCCGGGCCTCTGCCAGGGTGCTTGCAGCATGGGAGCCCCACCGCATGCCTGGATAAGCCACCTGGGCTCTGACCCTCCCCTGGCCTGACTCAGCTGGTGCCCCACTTACCCAGTGACATGCAGGCATAGGCAGCAGAAGGCAGGGGGCTTAGCCCCAGAAATGCAGGGCAGCAGTAGGGCCACAAGGTAGCCTAGCTGCGGGCTTCTGGCAGCTGCAACAGGTGTGGGGAGTGGCACACGTGCAGCAGTGAGTGGGGACTGGGACTGGATGCTGGTGCTGCAGAGCTGGGGCACTGCATGGGTCGGAGCTGCGAGCAGCTGGTCCAGGGGTTGCAGGGAAAGGGGGGCACGCAGCCTGAGTGGACATGGGGAGCACGTGCCCCTGGATCTGCACACAGGATGGAGTGGGGCAGGGGTGGGGCAGGC